ATCAATATAATGTTAATTATTGATGATTGATGAAAGGTTACTTAAAATGTTTTTCTTAATGTTCTACAATTTTTGGGGCCCCTGTCAGTCACGGGCCCTTAGAATCGTCCTAACTTTTCACCCCCTTACGGCGCCCCTGCCTACAACTATACCCTCCAAAGTGCTTGAGGGTGGGATTAATATAAGCATCTTTTTTTGGGGGGCGCTTTTTCCGGCAGGCCAGGGGGTGCATTTCACGACGGGGGTGCATAATTTGACACAACACCGGTAGGCTACTACCCGTTTATACAGTCTATGGTACTACCCCTAGTGGAAAAGCAACAAAGAGCGGGCCGGGCCAAACTAAACCGTACTAAGTCCTGCAGTGGAAAAGCGCCATAAGGCAAGGCAAGTTTATTTATATAGGCTAGCACCTTTCAACACAAGGCAATTCAAAGTGCTTTACAAAAAACGAAAGACATTAAGAAAATGGCATTTAAAATCAGTCATTAAAAAGAAAAGATAATAAAAGAAACATTAAAAGAAAAAAATACATGGATAAAAGTTACAGTGCAGTCTAAGATGTGAATAGTTCAATTAAAAGCAGCGGCAAAAAGAAAAGTCTTTAGTCTGGATTTAAAAGTAGTCAGAGTTGCACCTTTATATATACAGTCTATGGTTTCAACGCCTGTGTGTTTGCCTATCGCCAAACAGGCTCAGGAAAATCCTACAACATGATGGGTCACGCAGTAAGGCCTTCTCTCAGCTTTCTCAGCACTCTTACCAAGGTTAATGTGTCATTTTGTTTTTAATGTATCTTGAAAGGTAGCTATCCTACAAACCTTCATAGCTTTTGCATCTCAAACGTGCCCTTTTTAAATTAGACCCTCAATCTTCAGGGAGACCCAGGATGTCACCAAATTCACTGTAGAGCTTACGTTGCAGAATACTCTAGCAGCCGGTGGGCTCATAGCACTGACTCCTCAACACATTAGAAAGTGATGGCAGTCTCATCAGACGTCCCTCCCAGTCTCTCCATTTATCTCCATGTTTCTCCCCACTAATCAGAAAATGTGATGAGGGCAGCATACCACGGCTTTTCTCTCCTCACCTTGCAAGGCAATGGACATTTCACATAACAAATGAGCTTTCTGCTTGTCTACCAGGAGACTTGTGCAAGGTCATCAGCAAAGCTGCTGTCAACATCCCATAATTATATATGGCTCTTAATGCTTTCTATCTGTTACTTTGTAATTAAAACAAGAGGGCATGCAGCTCAGAGTGGAATTACTTTTATGCTTCAGTAACTCCATATCAGATGATCTGTTGTTCAGCACTCTTTGCATGTGCGGAGTTGAGGTCACGTAATGGCAAAGATCCACCTACATTTAGAAAACACAACAGGAGCAAAATGAAATTATAATTTTAAACAACACTGTTTCACTAATGTTTTTCTAAAAAGAAAAAACCTCTAACAACATTTATTTTATTTTTTTGATGTCCCAGAACGACAAAGGTTTAATCCCACAGATCTGTGAGGGCTTGTTCAGTGAGATATCTCGTAGAGCCGAGAGCAGGGGCGGACTGGGGGAAAAAAGTGACCCGGGGATTAATTGACAGACAGGCCCACTTAATGCGCGGCATGCATCGGCCGGCCGGCGAAGAAAGTATGTTACTTAACAAAAAATCCTATGCATTTAATGTTATTTTGGACCATTATTCATATAGTAATCACATTACCTGAGCCCTTGAGTTGCCTAGAGCAAAATAGTTACAGCATATATTTAGTGATTTTAATGTTAACAGATCATTGATGCAATAACATTTGGACCCAATTTGCCTGACTTGACGCATGGAATAAAACATGGTCGTAGGAAGTATCCTCAATGTGGGTGAGACAATTTAAGAGGCGGTGTGGGCAGGTGGTGGACCTCACCTCCTCTAGGGGGGTCCGGGGGCATGCTCCCCCGGGAAGAGATTTTTTTAAATGTTGAAGTTAAATGCATCAATCTGGTGCACTTTGAGAGCAAAATTAAGGACTAAATCTATGGCAGTCAGTAGGGGCTTGGACTGTGAGCCGTAGGGTCGCCGGTTCAAGTCCCCGACCAGACCTACATTTGGAGTGTGGACTTCTACTTGGAGGGGTTCCAGTTCACCTCCTGCCCTGCCGTGATGCCCTTGAGCAAGGCACCGGACATCCCCCTTCCCCCCTCACTCCCATTGCTCCGTGGGCGCTGTACAATAGCTGCCCACTGCTCCTAGTACTAGACTCCTGGTACTAGGATGGGTTAAAAGCAGAGAACACATTTCACTGTGTGCTCTGCATGTGTGACCATTAAAGAGGGTTTTTTCTTCTTCTTCTTCTTCTTCTTCTTCTTCTTCTTCTGTCTGCGTGCGGAGTCGGCGATGCGTCTTCTGCTTCTGCGGTCGTATTCTACTTCTGCTTATTCTTCTTCTTCTTTTCTTCTTCTCTTCTTCTTCTTCTTCTTCTTCTTCTCTTCTTCTTATTCTTCTCTCTTCGTCTTCTTCTTCTTTCTTCTTCTTCTTCTTCTTCTTCTTCTTTCTTCTTCTTCTTCTTCTTCTCTTCTTCTTCAATAAACCTGCTAGCTTAACTAGCCCTAAACTAGTAACAGAATGTGGGGAACCACGTTCTTCTCCACAGCCGCGTAACCTCTGAGTCAGACGTCACTTTCCCCTTTTCTATGCTACGGGTACAGCCGTACAGCCACTCCCTCTGAACCCAGGGCTCGCTACAATACTGTATACTGTATACACAAACTATACAAAAAACGCCTTTACGCTATGGAGCTGGTTTATCCATCTGTAAGCAACTGCAAGCTAGGTCTCTCAGTCACTCACTCCTGATTGTTCACTGCGCAGTGACAGCTGCTACGGGCCTGATGTGTGAAAGTGAAACTATCTGATAGAACATAGGTAGCTTATCAAAACGGCCCAGCCCAGCGGGGTACTTCTTATCTACTTCTGCACTTTAGTCATTAAACATCAAACCTTCAAAAATACTTCAGGAGAGTATTTTACCCATTCAATATTAGAGACTGGCAGCAGGGGTTGGGCATGTGCATTCTTTGGTACTTAGCAGTTGGCAAGACAAATTGGTTAATGGAAGTGAATTCGAATTCGAAGCTAGGTTCATTTTCTGATCATCAAAATGATAAACTTGCAGATGTAACTGCAGATCTTTAAATGTAAGGGTTAAGAAACTGCTACTGCAAGATTTTTTCAACACCGCTACAACTCTTTTGCTCATCATTTATTAAATACAAAAAAAACAGAAAGCAAAAATCATGTAGAAAAGCATGTCAGCTTGTCTTGTCTGCCCTCCACACAAAAAACAGTTCAATTGGCCTTCTTTGATGCGATTTGAGAGTACACAAGTTAAAATATTTATCTTGTTATGAAAAATGTGAAGAGGTAATGTTGTGTTGGATATAGACATGTCAGTATTGCAATTTCAATACAAAAGTAAGGCCTACCTTTGTTCGTTATGCTCTATGATGCAATTGGGAAAATGGCCAGTAAACAAAGAAAAAGCAGAATCAGATACTTGTCTTTTTTTCATTATTTCAAAATTAAACTGCAGTGTATTTAATGTGTGCCCAAAAGCATTGTGCCCACCCAAAAATGAGTACACACATGTAGATTACAATTGTGCTCCTTCCAGCTGATACCAACAGTAACACGTCAGAATTAAGTGAAACATATTGAAAAGATAGGTTCTTTTCTAGGTAACGAGCTGTTTTCCCTGTTGTTGTTCTTGTTGTTGTCGGTGGAATTATCTAAATATCATATGATGGTGAAGCAGGTAAAGACAGAAAATGACTCGACCAAACTATAATGCAGACCATGTGTCATAAAAGACAACATTAAGGTTTTATTACAATAATGTCCCAGATAATAAACAGACTCATCGCAATATCCGTTTCATTATTAAATGTCCCAGCTCTGCTTCTAAATGATTCTATTGGGAGATAATTTGAGGATTTTTAGCCCATCAAGCTACTGCGAAAGTATTATTTTGCCATTTGGTATCATGTGTGCTGCTGGCACATTATCTGGGTTTTATTCATCTGTAGAATTGTTTTTAACTGTCTGGCTTTGCCAAGCCTTGCCTGAGAAATGTTGAATAGTTTGAAAAGTATTGTTTGATTTAATCTTACAGCTGATATGTTTGTAGTGTATTTTCTTTTTTGGTTTATACCCAGCAGAAATGTGAGTTACACATTACTTTCCAAATAATAATAATAACCACCTGTATCTTGCAGATAAGATTAAAAACACAGATGTTATTTGAATGTTTGGTTTTAGTAGACAGGATATGGTAATTATTAAAATTGATTCACATAGTGTATTTAGTGACTGTTTCATTGTATGGCTTTACTTATTATTTGATCATTTACATCCTCCATAGGGCTACAAATTATCAACCATTTGGTGCATGATATTATTATGATTGTATGCTATTTAAAGCATTAAACTAATATGAATATTGTGATATGTGTGTGATGTCATGGCATAAAGCTGTTTCAGAATGTGCCATCGCTCCGTCAGTGTCACGCTTTCATGAAGCCTAATTGCTCCATGCCTTCAATTGTTTTTGAGTCAGCCACTCAGAATAGTCCTTTTGCTTCATGCACACACCCAGTATTGATTGAAGTGCTCTGCCGAAACCTACTTTGCATAATGTTTGTTTATTCATTGCCATTGCAAGGAGAGCAATGCATGCACAACAATTTGTCCTTAAAGCTATTGTGCATCTCTTTATAGAGACAAGAAAAATAGCAATTTGTTTTCTTCTCCTTTTGGTGCTTTGCCATCAATAATAGCACTGTAAACCTTCATTAATCTGTGGCCTTGTGTACAATCTCGTAGATTGTATTTGGTTTTGTGTTTTCTGTCTTGGCACCAGTTATTTGGAGATCTATAATGAATGTGTGCAGGACCTTCTCATCAAGAAAACTATACCGATATATGGAGGCTTGAGAGTGAGAGAGCACCCCAGGGATGGACCCTATGGAGAGTATGTTTTATTTGCCATCTTATGTCTATGTCTTCTTGTAGAAACTTCAGGAAAATCTAATGCAGACTACAACTTATTTGTAGATCTGTCCCAGCACTTGGTTCACAATCACAATGACATGGAGGACCTGATCAATCTCGGCAATGCCAACCGCACCACAGCCAGCACCGGCATGAACGGCACGAGCAGCCGCTCCCACGGCATCTTCACCATCAGGTTCACCCAGGTGAGCTTGTTGTCAGCAGAGTTGGGTGTACTTTGTAACGCGTTACTGTAATATTATTTGTATTGGTAACGGAGTAGTGTAACGCGCTACTTTTATAATTCAGTAATCACACTACAGTTACTAACATTGCCCCGACACGCGTTACTTCGTTACTTACTAAAATCAGTCATAATCAAACCTCAACAAAGACCTGCAAAGAACACATGCTAAGGTGAAGCAAACGCACAGATATTTGTTGTTTGTTTATCACGTAGTCTGTTCTTCTTCTCTGTTTTCCGGTTGTTGCCTGTTTTGAATGACGAATACACACTACCGCCGCTTGCTGGTAAGGAGAGTTATTGCCACTCACGCATGCGCAGTTCGTATGTGCTCGGCTGAAGTCTTTGCGGTGTGCTCCAGTCTGGTTCCTACGGAGCCCCCTAGGCCTAGGGGACATGGAGAAGAAAGTATTGCGAGATATCGCAATACTTTTGCGAGATCTCGCAAAACCCCGTTGCAGTTTGTAGACGGTCCCTAAGCACTCCTCTCCCTCCTCCAGCTGCAGATTGTGACCAATTCTTGATGTTTAGCTCGGATGACGGCGCGTATCGAACTGTTCTGATAAAAACGACTCTGTAGCTCGTTCTCTACCTTGCTATGATTGTAAAGTCATGTTGTTTGTATTTTTACAACGTTATGTTCATGAGTTATTGATCCGCGAAATTCGAATCTGTCAATAACCCAGCTCAGAGGGACGTGCATGTCCCCTTGCTCTGAGTGTTCTCTTGAGGTGTCTTCACTTATGTGAAACCCTTTATATATACAGTCTATGTGTGAAACCCGTGCCTATTGCCAAGCACTGATGTTATATCTTTATATTTAAGGCCAAGCTCAAAGTAAAATCGATGAACCACTCCATTGTTGTGGTTTCTGTGTTGCCGTAGCAGCCGAACTGACCAGGAAGTACTAAATGAAAAGTATTGCGAGATCTCGCAAAGGGGTTTTGCGAGATCTCGCAAAAGTATTGCGAGATCTCACAAAGGTTTTGCGATATTTCGCAAAACATTTTTATTTATTTTTTTCAAATTTTTGTTTGTTATCTTCTCCATGTCCCCTAGGGGGCTCCGTAGGTTCCAGTGCAACGCATGGCCAACACGCAGGAGAACACGCCGACGCAACAGCGTGAGCAGAGATAGACTGCGCAAAATATACAGATAGCAGGAGACAGAGGAAAGCCATGGTCAGATAGGAAAACATTCAGGAGCTATCTGGATCAGTCTTATGCGACAATGGAAACTGAACTAAAGAGAACATTTGAAACTTTAGCAGTCTGCGTGATCTGCCTGCAGGGAGGGACGGGCCGGCCCTGCGAGTAAAGTAACGAGTTACTTTATGTAACGAAGTAGTGTAATATATTACTTTTTAAAAAAAAGTAATATGTAATATATATATTTTTTTTAGTAACGACCCCATCTCTGGTTGTCAGTTTAAAAGTTTTCCTGCAAACTCTTTGGGTGTTTGTAAAAGTTATCCCTTAGGAGCTCTAATTAACCTTGTTTATCTGTTTTATGTATAATTTCCAACATGCTTATTTCATCTTCAAAGTCTAGCACTGTTGCCATTTCGCATACAAGTATTCCCATGTGTAGTTGCCTCTTTTGAACTGGGGATGGCTCAGTAGTGTTATTTCATGCCACAGGCGTGGTTTGATGCGGAGGTGCCCCGTGAGACGCTGAGTAAGATCCACCTGGTGGACCTGGCAGGCAGCAAGAGAGCAGACTTCAGGCTGAAGGAAGGCGCCAACATCAACAAATCCCTGGTCATCCTGGGCAGTGTGATCTCTGCTCTGGGTAAATGGCAGTTACAGCAGGACTGACACACCATGACACACAATCTTCTTCTAGTATTCAGCCAATCCAATCAATAATTGAATGCGAAGGCAGCAATTTCATCCACCATACCGACTAGTGGATAACATCGCTGACCTAGTATAGAATACAATGATTCCTTATCTCTTATCAATCCATTCTTTTCAAAAATAAAATGCAGTTTTATTTGTTTCTTTATTCTGTAATTGGATGTCAGGTTTCATTAAAAATATTTATTTGAAGGTAAAATTTGACTTGACAAATTCATATCTGGAATTACATATGCAATTCAATGTATTGTCTGCATACCCAGCAACCCAAAACATTTATCTATAGACCTTGAGAAAAACATTCACTTGTTACTGGAGTTGTCTGAGTCAGTGTTTTCTCTCTGTGTGACCTTCCAGCTGAACTTAGTATGGGAGGTCGGTCAACAAAAAAGAAGACCTTCATTCCTTACAGAGACTCTGTGCTGACATGGCTACTGAAAGACAGCCTGGGTGGAAACTCTGTGACTACTATGATCGCAAGTATGTGAACTCCACCTGACACCAAGACATTTCAGGCTGTTTCCAGTAAAGTGTGCATCTCACTCATTGCTCATATCTTCTTCCACATATCTTATGTGTGCTCTCCTCCCTCCTCATGGCAGCCATCTCCCCCGCCAATGTGAACTACCTGGAGACCCTAAGCACGTTGCGCTACGCCAGCTGAGCTAAAAACATAGTGAACTCTCCCACGGTGAACTAAGATGAAAACGTGAAGGTGATCAGAGAGCTGTGGGCAGAGGTTTCCAGACTCCGAGGGCTACTAGAAGAAGCTGATCAGGTCCTGCAGTGCATATGTTCAAGCTCACATAAAAGGCCATTGAGCACACTGCAATATGAATGCTGACAGTGTTTTATCCAAAGGTTACATTGTAGGTTTGGCTGTCTTTTCACTACTTCTCCAGGTTCCCGTGTGGAGCCATCTTCCTCTGTGAAGGTAGAGGAGGAGCTGCATCAGAATGAGGTGAGGGTGAGTCATCCTCTGCCAAACTTTGTAAACAATACACCTGCTATTCCCCCCCAGGTCCTAGAACTGAACAAGGAGTGGACCAGCAAATGTGGCGAGACTCGCAGTATTTTGCAGGTAGAGCAACATTTAATATATCATATTAAAACAGTTTTTAAGTATAGAAAAACAAGAGATTGCTCCCACAAAAGATGCACAATTGCCCAAAGGCACATTGTTTTATCATAAAAGAGTCAGACTAACCACGTCTACAAATCCATGTTTTATTTGTAATTATTTATATTACAAGTATAACTACGTCCACCAAAACATCCAGGCACTTCCACAATACCTTTATCCTGAGTTTGATTCACACATTTGTTGACATAAACTCCTCTTACAACCCTTTTTTACTAAAAAAGAGATATGAAAAGTAACCTTTGGTGCAAATACCCTTTGACCTATTCAACAGCAGTTAGTTTGACCCTCAAAAGCCGGATTCTGTTTGTTTCGATTCTTTGAAATGAGCTTGAGAATAAGTAGGATTTCTTTATACATTACTTTTTTCTTACTACTTTAAAGACAACCAAAGACTTCCTGCAAAACCCTGTTGTTTGGCATCTATCATTTTGTTTGTGAACAGAGATGGGTTAACATTTCAGAATAAAATGCCACCTACACTTATACAATTCAATTATATTATTTGGAGCGTTGTTGTTTCTCTCAAAGTGACAGTTTGTTAAGTGACCTTGTTGCTTACGTTTTTGTTGCCTGCTTTGTTTTCTAGGCCCCAATTTAGTTATATCAAAGTCCAAACCGCAATTTATTATTTGAAAATAAAAACATGTAAAACTGATTCCTTTTTAAGATTGGCAGAAGGATATATGCACGTAAAATAGAAACTACTGAGTACATAACGTGTGAAGGTTTGCTCTATAAATATAGATATAATATAAATCTATTAACAGTTACCAATCAACAAAGTGACAATTCTCCCAGCAGGAGTTTTGACAGATGTTGCTGCTTGCAGTAAAGACAACCTACCAGCTGGTGTCACTGCAAGTCTTTGTAAACCACAGCCACTTCATGGAGTGGAAAGGCTAATGAGAGTAGAGTCGACCTGACATTTAAATTACATTTTCCATCTATTTAGGGTTTAAATGGCATCCAAAAGCTGAGTCCTTGTAATGATCGTGAAGTTAGTGTGCGTGACAGTGTTTGGGGAGACTGACAAAGAAAAACAGAACAGACGTGCCTTCTCTTTCAACCCAATATGGTGTCTCTAAGGCTGGGACAGGGTGGCAGCATCTTTTATAAGACCCCGAGCTGCAACAAAAAATTCCTCTGTGTGCCAACTACAGAGTTTACACGGAACAAATTTCCTCCTGTTGAATTTGTGCCCAACCTCTCAAATAACACCAAATGTCATCTGTTTGGGACTCATTGTACTCTGCCAAGTAGCCTGTTGCATTATGCATTGAACTCTGAAGCGTGCCAGTCAGAAAGTATGCAGAGAAATGTTGTCACGATCGTACATGCTTAGCAGATAATTCTCTCTAGCAGATTCCTGGACATTTCTGACTTCTGCACCAGAATGGCAGAGTGAAGCTACACATTTTGGAAGCCATTGTGTAAGACGTTAAAATGCCCTACGCATGATTGTTGGCTATATATATGCGTGTTGGATTTGTAACATTATGATACTGTATGATGTGGTTCACAGGTAACATTGGGTGGCGTGACAGCCCTTTATTAATGGCAGTGTATTTGAACTCATTAGCAGCTGTCAGCGCTCCTAATGAAAAGGTCTTGATTATTGACATATGGCACTTGTGTGTCTGACTATCCGGCATATTAATTCAAGTTACAGCGTTGTAAATCTGTTCACATGGTCAAGCACTGATGGCTTTGTGCTCGGAGGCAACATCGTCCATCTCTGCTGGCTGAGATGAAAAATATGCCTTATTTAGAGCTGTGCCCATTCATGTAGAAGCACCTGTTATGATGCACGATGCAACGTGACACCGGGGCAAAAACGGCCACTGTACTGGTGACCAGCAGGCCCTCTGTTGTGGCCGAAAGTCTAAGTGTTTGATGAATGACTTTATGGATTTGACATTTGTCTTGCTGTGCATTTGCATTCTGCACAGACGTTAGAGGTGGTGTATGTGCTCAGCTCGGTACAGAGAAGCACATCCAGCCCCATTTTGAAGTGGCTGTTTAAAAATTCAGCACACATACCATACAAACAAAACCTTAATCACATTTGGGGAATTTATTTAAAGTAGTTTCTTCCTAACAAATGGCCTTGTGTATGGGGCTATACATATTGCATGCTCTACATCACCTAACACATTAAATTACGAGCTTCTTCTTCTTCAACTCTTCGATTCTCATATTTTTGGGGGGGTTTAATTCAGTAAATGCTGCTGCTGAGAGCTAGATGAACATTTCTGCCTGGGCCGGAAGGAGACAAGTTGACCAAGAGGGGTGTAAACAGAGTTTTGAATTCTGTATTCAAAGCAGATTTAGAATGCAAAGTTATTCATCGTCAGCTTCCCAGATTGGTTACAGGGCATGTGGGAAAGAGAAAGTAATTAATATGAGATGGATTCCACAGCAGCCTCTTACCAGACAGAGACGGCGACCGATTGAGAGAACAAAAAAGGCAGGAAGAGGGTAAAGTGAAATGTTGTTCTACTTCAGGGTTATACACACACACACACAGATTTTGTGAGTAGCTCTACTTCACGAGTGCAGTTTGCTCCCCAGCCACTCTTTCAGTTCCCCTTTATAACACAGTGGTGGGAGGAACCTCAATTTCAGTAAGATAAAATGAAACGGGGTTTCTTTGATCTTAGTGTTTTTTGTACTTCCCAAACACGCTGCAATCAGCACAAAGACGCAACTTAAGCCTTGAATGCTCTCAGCCTGGCTCTGTTTAATGCCAATTTACTTCATACTGTCAGCAGTTATAAGTTTTCAGGTCATTATTGCATTTCATGACCTTTACATATTCTCATCAGCAGCTCACCTTTTGATTGTTCACATGTCAGTAAAAGTCAGCTCCAAACTAGATTGACTTTTTCTTAAATTAAATTCAAGAAATCATCTGGCCATGTCTGTAATGCACATGGCGAGCACATGTGTTATAAATGCCATTCATGAATAAGGACTAAAATCTCCAACTGAGGCCAAAATATAAATTCTACTAATAACAACCCAGTCCATTTTTCACATTCTTCAAACTAATAAATGACACAGATAATAAAAATTCAACTCGGCTACAATTTCAATAATATATTGAATTGAGTTGAATGGGACACATAGATGAGAATGTATTAACTGATTAGGAGCCCAGATCGTTTTATTGAGTTCAATCCCTCTCTAGTTATTAAAACAAACTGCATGCATGGCAACATGCTGATGTCCGGAGTGCATATCAAGCTAATTACAAAGAACATTCACACTACGGCCAGAACAACAACTCTGCTTGAGATTCTGTTTTCACATGCAAAAAAACCACAAAATAACATAAAGGGGCGAGTAAGAAATGGAAACGGCTGTTAATAAGATGCCAATCCCTCTCTGTTGGTTACCATTGTGGAATATAACCAATCATTACAAACAAAAGGCTTCATGCCATTTAAAAAGCTGGCCATGTAATTGCCTTTCCCTTCATGCGCTTTCATTTGAACTTTTATAAAGAGCAATATTCTTGGGTATAAATACAGCTCTTTCATGGAAATTAACCTTTTTAATGTAACAGAAAGATTGAAATGCAGACGTTATTTTTCTTGGCCTGGGTTCAGTTGCTGCTTATCTGTTCTGTTGGCGAGTTGCTCCACTTGATGAGGCTGATGGGCAGTCTGGAAAGAAGGATTAGTTGGAATAGTGTGTTTTTGAAATGCATATTAATAAAGGCAGGAACCTGAACTGTCAAAGTGCTAAGAAAAATCCATTAAAAATGCTGCACAACCACAGATGATGGCTTTAATGTGAGCCTAAATGCTGCCCGAGACTGGCTGCTGGTCTGGGCCACAGTTAATTACAGTATGTTCACCAGCTGCCTCCATCTCAAAGCAGACTTCTTTTTGTCCTCATACTAGCACCCGCACAGACGAGACTAACTGACTGGGTGTGGTGAGGAGCAACTCTCTGTTTTGTGTGTGGATGTTGGGAGATCTCATCTGTTCCTGATCTCTGTGGAGAGTGACGCAGTGCATTAATCTGCCAGGCTGCTCCTCACCTTTTTAATGAAGTCTGTGAAGAATCCCTTTTAATTAAGTACAGGGGCCAGGGTCGATGTCTCTCCTTCTTCATTAGGAAAAAAAAGGATTTCTCACAACTGCCAATGAGTGAGGTGTTGCTGGTGGTGGACACGTCTCTCACTTCACTGCCCAATCTATACGAAGGAGAGCAGGAGGAGGTTGAAAGAGAGGGGAACTAGTTTATGCAGTGTTGCCTCTGAATCCTCCATATGTGAGATTTTCTGCTTTGCCTCTTGGGGAGGTACTTATGATAATCCATGGCAATGTGAGGCATTAGTCCACCAGCTTAACAGAAGAATACTTCTGATAGGGGCCACTCATGCTTGGGTAGACTCTGGGTTATTGAACTGCAGCCATTGGAGGAAAAAGGTTAGCGGCCTTAACACTTTGCCTCGAGAGTTGAGTTTCTTTTTATGGCTTAATTCAGAATGCCTTTTGAACCCTGTAGGTTGTCGAAGGCTGAGTATTTAATCGGCAAATTCACTCCTCAACAAAGTCATGTCTGCTGCCTGTCTGGTCTTTTCTAAAGCTTCATTCGCAAGTAAGAAATACAAATATAATACTAAATGACTTCTTTATACAAAGTTAAATGAATATCGCCCCTTGACAGACATGCATGCTGTAAGGTGGTGTGACTCAGGCTTTTACATTTCCTCCGCAACAATTGTTGGAGGCAGTGAAGCAGATCAGAGGTTTAAGTGTAGCTGTGCTTTTAGAAATGGCTTTCAAGGATTAAATCAATTTCTCTACCTCTTATCGCATTTCTGTAGAGAGGTGCTGTAACACCATTAAATACCTTTTTTATCAGGGGTTTCTGGACAAGCAGTATGAAATGATTTATTTTTTATTTTTATGCAATCAGTCAAGTTTGAGCTCTCATGAAACTGTAATGTTGCTTGTGTGTCACTATTTAATCAATAGATTTGGCGTTTATGTTAAACAAATGCCATGTTTTATTGGAGGAAATGAAGAAATCCCTATGAAATAGTTTTATAATGAGTAATTTTAGTACACTTATTCACTGTCCTCAACACTCATTTGTTGCCATGACATGATTTCCCCTCAGCCTACAAGGCAGAGGAATTCACTTCAGTCTGACCTTCCATGCAATACTCCCATCAGACACATTGTAAATGACACAGAACTACCTAAAGTTTGTTGCTGTTATCTAAAGTTGACATACTATACAAGCTCGAGAGTATTCACATGCAGTGTTGATGGCTATGTCTCCATAAAGGCAATGGCGCATGTTATACAACCCATTGTGTGTATGTGTGTGTGTGTGGGCGGCAGCACTGTGTCTGTTTCGCTCGCTGAACACAATGTACAGTTTGACTCTCGCCACCATAATCTGAATGATTTATGGTGTCTCTCTTGCCGTTAGCCACTCTGCCGCTTCACAGCGACACATGGTTGGAATGCCGCTATTCTGCCTGGCCTTCAGACAAGGAAGAGCAGTCATAAAGAATTCAGTTTTCTGCTGGTTGCCATTAAATGTCTGTCAGCATTTTTATTTTATATTGTGTGCCATTCCTGCTACAGGCTATTGAACGAGTTTGTTCCCCTCCATGGTATATTTACTGCAGGAGGAGACTGTGGCTCTGAAGAAGAAAGGCAGTGGAGTGCTCCTGGGCTGCCAGTTGCCTCATCTGATAGGCATTGATGAAGACATGCTCAGCGGTGGAATTGTCCTGTATTATCTGAAAGTGAATAATTTGAACTTCACATAATACGCAAATTATTCAACATTTGTCTCAAATCATTACCAGTCAAGGTCCATTGCTTCCGTTAATTGCCAAACAGCTTGCATATTGTATCATGACCTTTTAATCTTCGCTGTAGGAGGGCAGAACGCTGATTGGGAGTGAAGAAGCCTCATGCAGTCAGGGTATTGGTGAGTCAAGGATACTGCGATATGTTCCCAACAGCTGTGTTCTGTATGAAACTGATAATTAGCAGTATGTCTATGCTTTCGTTTTTAAATTGTATTGTAGTGCTTCATGGTCCTGGGCTTCTCAGTGAACATTGTGTGTTGGAGAACCGTGCTGGGACCGTGACTCTGATCCCGCGGGATGGTGCGCTGTGTTCAGTCCAAGGCTCTGAGCCACTGAGCCACGCCAGCTGACCCAGGGTAAGTATTTCTACAAAGAATAATATGCTCTTGATATTTTTTTTAATGAACCTGAAGGGAGGGGGGGGGAGGCGTGCCTGTAATAATGAAGATTTCTCATTCAGATTCCCAATTATTTGGCTGGTGGGACGCAGTAACCCGCTCATCCATTTTGAATGCAGTGATATGAGATCACTGCATCACATCTGCAAATGAAATCCACTTTTATGTCCCTGGCACCCCCACGGCAGCACACACTTGGGGCATGAGTGGATTGTGAAAACAGCTCTCCACAGGGCAGATGCCATTTCTCTTACTAAACATTTTGAAGGGCGAGGGACCCCAGACAAAGCTCCAGACAAAGCCTCAGGCCCTCCATTTAATTGGCAGATGGAGTTGATAGGCCCGACAGGTTTGAAGTGGGCCAGAGCATTAACCTTTGAAAGGACAGAGCCGATCCTGAGCTGAAACTCCTTCCTGAGCAGACCCTGCTATCCGGGGCTGGAAGATTTCCCCCCGCTTACTACCTCCTCATCCACACTGCTTTGCTTTCCAGAGATAATAACTGCACACAGAACCAGGCGGCGCAGGGCCTGGCTACGCTAGTCTCTTTTATAACCATTTCAATTTATCCAATATCCCCTTCAGAAACGGCAGCATCTGAAGCTATTTTCTTGAACAAATGATAGTAATTTTCAGTCCAACGGCAGCTGGAATCCATCACAGGCTGCCCTCTCAGGTGCTTTGTCACTCGTCAGAAGTCATTAGTAGTGGCAAGATTAGTATTTGATGTGCGGAGGTGAGGAATGAAGAGGATACCTCAAGAAAATCTGTGGATGTGGCCATATGAGTGCGAGTCTGATTTATAAACCCTAATATCACTTCAATTCTATAGCTTTACAAGACTCCTCAAGTTCCCTGGGACCATTTTCTCTGGTAAATCATCCCCCTGGTCTAGGTCACTGGCAATCAGTCTGGGATTGGGTTCTTCATGGCAATTCATTCACTTTGCCTCAACAGAAGAAAATGTTGGGAGAACTTTCTATGCAATTTGTCAACTTTTCCTCAAGCTCAGTGCAGAGACAGTTCACTGCAGATTGATTTCATGCATTATAGATACTGCCACACCTCCAAAGGTTACCTGGCAGGCCTGCAGCACCATTCCTGAAGGTTTCTTACTTCTGCCAGTCTTTCTCCCAGTGTATTACATAATTCAGTGTTTGGTGCTGCAAATATTAAGTTTCAGCCACTAAATTAGCTGCTTTTTTCATGCTATTCCTCTCCTGTCCCCTCTAGGTGATATCACCAAAGCTAGGCGGTGGAACTTTACTCCGGGTTTAACCAGCCGACCGAAGCTGCCCAGCTCAAAGAGAAACTTCAGGTACAAACAGTCTTATTGTGTTTTCTTCATGCCATCCTGCTGTTTTTGTATAGCTGAGAGCCTCTTTCAGAAAAGATGCTGCCTTTTCTCCTGTTAATTGTGTAAAGCCAAACAGCAACATGCATTTTGTTTCCATAACTACTAGCTGAAATATTTGCTTCCTTCAGCAAACGTGGCTCATGTTGAACTTAATTCACACTTCACTCCACATCAGAAACTCCACAATAACACCGCCAGTGTGTGATCCATGCAGGTTTTTTCTGATCAGAATACAAACTACTGCCCGCTTCTCGGCTGTTGCTGCTTGTTTGTGCCTGTTTAGCATTAAACTCTACTCCTTTTGTTCTGATTAATTGGCTCATAAAAAAGCACCAGACCTGCACACAGCGAGCAATATCTCCCAAATATTGAACTGTTTTCGACCTCAGAGAAGCTCTCTCTGAAAGGAAGCCAGGTGCAGTCACTTTAAAACTCGCTGCTTTTTGCCCAGCCTGCAACAGCTTGGCTCTCATTCACTTCCATGTGTTTTTTAAAGAGCCATTGTGTGTGAAGGCACCCTTTCTTCTGAAGAAACCACAACCAGTGTTCCTCTGCAATAATTTGTTTATGTTTAAGTATTCTTAAGTTAGACTGTAGAAGTGGTTGAATTAATAATACAATGGTTGTGTGCTTGACAGGCTAAAAGCAGAAGGAGTAGGATTTGCTGGTACAGATTGCAATGACACTAGAAGCCACTGCTGTATGGGTCAGGGTGCTTGCTCGAGGTTGCAAACCAACCTCAGATTCACTCTCGTTTGGAAACAAGCTTTGTCCAACTATATTTATGTTTTTCTCAACCCAATGTCTGCCATTTTTTACAATCCGGCATCTGGTTACTACGTTTTTATAGGTGAGAAGCAGACGCCTGGAGTTGTTCTGAACACATGAAAAATAAAACACGGGGGTAGGGTCACTGCAGATTAGAGGTATTTTGTGTATATATTGTTCTAAAGGAACTTTTCTACACATTTTACTTGTGTGCTGCAGGTCAAGTACATGTTTATTGTTAGACAGTATCAAATCACATTAGCATTATATGGTAAATGGATAAATAGAAACAAATCTCTAACTGAAGACCATCTCCACTCTTAAGATCACTTCTGTAGGTATTTTTCGGGTTTGATTAATTATTTGAGGTTAAATACATCAGTATCTGTAAGGTTGTCCATTTCTTAACACCTACATTATGAAGATAAAAGGATATTCCAAACAAAATCTTACCAAATGTACTAAAAACAACCCCAATCAAGTGAAGGAAAATAAAAGTAAAGTTATGTCAGTAACTCTAAATCTACTTAGATTAACCATCCACAGAAACTGAATGTGTCTGTGAGAGGAGCACAAGCCAAGCAGATTACACCAAGAGGCCAGTATGCAGGTTTCCATTCCAAATATGGTAGACAAAGTGCATACAAATACTGTTTCCTAGGTGCTGTACCACTCGGCTTCATGGCAGAGGGAAAAACTAGGAGTGAGCATTTGTATTTGCAGTTGCACAATCTGAAAAATATTGCTGTAACACTCCCACTGCCTGCATGTTAAAAAGTAAGTTCCAGTCTGGTACAATTTACCTACAACTCTAATCTTGTCTTCTTTAAGCATTTCCTCTTGCTTTATAACATTTTATGTTGCAAAATGTATTCAGAAACCATTTTACAGACACAGCTGTACTTCTGTTTTCTGACAGCTCTCTGCATTATTGAAAATTGCACACCATTACATCCAGGACCCGCTGTGGTCTCGAGAAGAGTCTTTGTCATTAATTTTTAACATCGATCTCAAATGAGATGGTCTTAAGAGTTCTACATTTCCTCAGTCTTAAAATATGCCAGCAGACTGAAAATGCCCTGTGTAACTCTGGTTTTAAAACGGTATATTTCAAATGGCAAATGGCAGTCTAACGGTGTTAAATATTAAATGTGAATATTACAGAACCACAAAATGGACCTAGTTATATATTAAAGGTGCTTTTTCATTTTAGGAATATGTAATATCTTCATGCCATTTGCCCTCATTTGGAACCAGATTTTAGATTTTGACATCCCTCTTAAATTTTTCAAAGCTCTTCAATCTATCCTGTTACATTTTGTGAAAAACAGTGTGATGAATACTGAAGACATACAGCATATACTATTAATTGAATCATCGCATAACTGCAAATCATCCACAGGCAGCTGTCACTCTTCTCACACTGCCAGATTTACATTTCACAGTGCTGTCTCATTCTGTTGTCTACAGAGCGGGCTGCCGTCTGCCTTCAGCCTGCCCTTGACTGGCATATCCAACTCTACAGAGACTCTGTCCGAGGCGATGCTGCAGAACCCAGGGTGAGACGCATGCAGACATGTGTAATAGCTCTCAACTCTCAGTGACCCAAGCATAACTGAACCCTGTCCACCTCAATCTCCACACTGTGCCTGCTTATTGAGCAATGTTCATCGGGCGCATGGACCAAATCAAAGCCATAAATCATGGCAGCATTTCTGTGAGGAGAGGTGGGAACATGCAAAAAAGCCATTTTAATGCTTAATGCTGAGCCAGTGGAAAACACAGCAGGCAAACTCCACTTCTGCAGCCCAAGGGCGTGTCCAAAAAAAGCCTTGAGTTTTGCAGGTAGGGAACTACCTTGTGTCCCATTTCCAAAATTACTGCATTGCACTTAAAGTTCAGATTCCCTAAACTCCTAAAATGCAGAGTGAAGAAGAAGAAGCAGCAGTACTGATGGGAAGTTACATAATTCGTTTTGCTACACTCCCACCAGATCCATTTTACATAGCTCTTTCTCAATCTGCATTCTTTTGAAATACCATCAGCTATGGCCATAGCAGCAATTCAAAGTCCACATTTAAGTGTCTCAGCATCTAGTGATAACTGCAGATGATATAAGCCCCTGATATAATTGTTGTTCTGAATCTATGTCACTAAATTCATGTCTTTAAATCAGTCATTTAGATCTTGCACATGTGGTTAATATATCAAAAACAAAATGCCCTTGAACATTTGAGCTGTTTTTTTCGATGTATCAATCAATCAACCAACCAATCAATCAATCAATCAATCAATCAATCAATCAATGTTTATTTAGATAGCCCAATATCACAAATGTTACATTTGTCTCAGTGGACTTCACTATCAAACTTTCTAGGTGTGCAAAATGCCTTTGGTCATACTGCGGTAATATTTCATACGGAAAGTATTTTGTTAGTTTAGTGTTGACACTATTATGTCTGGAGTGATTAAATCATGCTTTCCTAAACCTTAGTCTTAGTGTACAATTGTAATATTTGGTTTCCCCAATTGGCTGAAGGTAAAGTGTCGAGGTTTGTGTTTTGTATTGGGCAAAAAAATATGTTAGTTGCCTTTGTGTAACCTACAGTATATCTGGATATTGCCATTCATTAATAATATCAAGCAAATATATATATGAAAAGAAAAATATGCTATAGTTACATAAAAATCGTATTTACAGTAGCTTTAACAAACAGTGACATATTTTCTTTTTTCAGTTATGGTTCCTCACTATTATTTTTTATTACAGCCTACCAAACTCTGAAAGGCACTGTGTTAATGTGACTGATCTTTATACCCTGCCACTGCCTTGGAACTGTGTGACAGGTCATTGATCTGTCAGTGACTCAGTGTTCATTGAATTAGTGCCCAAAATCCAATTCACTCTCTAGTGATTCACCATCTACTGAAGAAAGTGAACAATTTGAGACACCCCGAGTCTCATGATCTGATAACCCTCCCTGATGTTTTACAGCGTGTAGAGCTGGCTGACATGTAATTTCCCTCTCATTGCAGTATCCCCGGAAAGCGGCGCTTCCGCTCAGGTGATTCATACTGCCTTCAGTCCGACACCTGGAACCGTTTCCCCCGATCTGCTGGTCTGACACTACCTGTATGTGAGGCGTAAATACCTGAGTGTTTGGAGGATAACTTCAAGGCCCCAATTAGTCAAACACATAGTCTGTGTTCATCACGGTGTCCAAAACACTTGGTTTATGTGTGAAATCGGTATCGCAGAGTGAGCGAAAAGATGGAGAAGAATTGAAGTCAGGAGTCTGTGGTTGACGGAAACTGAGACAGCTTGATGGAAGATTAGCAGCAGGACTGATACGTTTATTTTTTATTTTTTGCAGTGTACATACACAGAGGCAAATACGGAAGTATAGCACATTTTGCAAAATACACTGCTTATTAATTTCCCTCTAAACACCCACCTCCTCTCATCCATGCTGTACGATCATCTGTTTGGCAGAGAGGGAAGTTTTTTAAAAAATGTGTATTCTTCTCATTGCTTGGAGATGTAGTCCATCCTTGTTCTGCTTATTGTCCGTGTAGCATAAATTCCCTTGCAGCAAGGACAGAATTGATCTCTAAGTTTGTCCGATCAACTTGGAAATGAGCCTCAGTGGGAAAAAAAGAGCAAATACTTTAAATTCAAATGGTTGCTTTGGATATCTGCTCAGCTCTGGAAGTGACAGGAGATATCATTGAACAGACCTGCTGATGCTGGAGGGGCTGCTCCTTTGCAACAAAGCAAGCCTCCTATTATTGTCTACATCAGTTGGATCACAGACTTGCTCACTAAAGATTTGGGACAGGAAAAAGGCTAGCTGCATTAACAATACATTGAAAAACTTCACATTTGTATATTTATCCAGATGTTTGATTCACTGAGCTTTATTGATGAGATGTCAAGGAGCATTTATGTCAGCTGACTGCAGATTTTCTCATGTAGCCTTGTCTCTAAGCATGAGGTTTATAGGAAACCAATTAAATTGCGCTTTTATTTTGGAAACATGAGATGGAAACTCAAGAGTCAAGAAAGATTGGTTTGTCTGTTATTGCGAGGTCATATGCTTTTGCAACGTGCATTAATTCATGACCCCGCAAAAGACACACTCATGTGCACTAGTAAAAGTCGGTCCACTGTGTTCTTTCCTTTTCAAATGGACTGTTTAACCAGAGCCAAGTTCAAATACTGCTCTTTCAAACACGGCAGAGTCTGGACTTTGAGAGCTCCCAGTGATGGAGCAGGCTAGCTGGCATTTGACCCATGCAGCTTTTAATGGCCACCTTAGCTCTGAAAGTCCCTCATCTGACAACCCTCTCAGTATTTGCCGACTCCGGCCAGAAGGCCAAGTGGCGACTTTACTCTCTGCCGCCTTCTGACCACTGACAGGCTGTTATTAGACGCTGGAATCTTCTGAAATTGTGTTTTCACACTGGTTAACATCCATCACTCTAGGAGCTCCTGTGCCACACCTCCAGCTTCTAGCTTTAGTGCAGACAGAGCAAGCATACCTACAACAATGTAGCTCTGAAGGCTGTGATTATCTTTTTCATATTTGTGTTACCCATGTGTCTCTTTCAAATATCTGGGTTGGAGTTTCATAAAATGACCCCAAAAATGTATGCAATGTGATGCAGATGAAGGGATCGACTTCTCCGTGAAATCTGTGTGGGTGTGAATGCATGATGTGATAACTAGGAGGATGGAAGAGAAGCTAAACCAGCAGGAGGTGGAATGGCAGCAGGTCCAAGAAAAACTGAACAGACGCAACCGGGACATCAAAAGACTTTCAAAGGAAAACAGTAGGGCTCCCCATCAATTGATAGCAGAAAGGAAGGCAACAGGGGCAGAGATGGAAGAGACTGGCAACGGGTGAGTTAGATGGAGGCGAACTGTGCTCTCTGTGGTGATGTTAATGAATCCTTGTTTGTGTACCAGCAGTCATTCCACAGCAAGATCACTGTAAACCTCTGCATGAGAGCAAAGTGGAATCAAGAAAATGTGGCTCGCTTCTGAGACTAGAACTCTCAGATCAGTGTTCCTTCAATTTGTTCATGCGAGCAGACAAACATCTGCCGAGTGCAGGACATCCTCTGTACTGATCCTCAGGATCTGCAAAAAATCCTTTAATCACCACGAGGACCTGGCCTGTGATCCCTCTTGTTGATGTTGTCAATGCTTTGGTGCTCCCACTTTCCTCCCTCACCGAGCTGCCGCAACACAGCGCTGAGCCAAAGCCTCAGTTTACTGTCACAAATCATTCTGAGCTGTATATTTGGTTTCTGCTCCCCCCTCTAGAGTGCTGAGAATTGTATGTAAATCCTCAAATCAACATGCACACATTCTATTTAATTTCACAGCTAGTAGAGAGGCTCTAATCTCATCCAGCCATTTGGGCTGTTTGCTTTTCAAATCTAATGGATGGTTTTTGTGAAGGCGGGGTTTGGGGTTTGTGCAGTCTTGACTTTTGGCTGCAAACTGAAGTCTCCAGTGTCCCACCACAGCAAATAATTAAATTAGCTTTTAAAAACAAAGAGGCTGGCTTCGTGGATAGGCATATAAAACACAGATGTATTGTGCACACACCTCCCCATATCAAGACGCAACTTTTGTTCTCTAAAAGAATATGAAAAGATATTATTTAATTCTTGTCGCTTCACTGTGTCCTTTTTCAGCCAGATGGAAATGCAGTCTGCAGAGACAGCCGCGTCCATAGTGCCACACAGCTGTCTAACCTCAGCCACAATAGAGAAGCTCATCAATGCAGTATGTATTCACATTTTAATTTTCCAAACAAAACCCTCTCTTGATTAGATCTAAATGAAATAAGGATTTAATCAATGAGCCATGGGTATTTTCTGCATGAATTATATGACTTGTAATTATTTTTTAAAGATATTGAATGAGCTAAAGTAGAGTGTGCAAAAGTAAGAAATGTCTTCTGCAGTCTTGAACAAGTCACTGTGCAACTGAAGTACAATTCCCTTTCGTCTTTTGCAAAACAGAAAATGTCAATACCTTCCTACCCCCCTTTCCAGCCAGGCTCAATAGAGATTTTTACGAGGCATGAAATACTTTTTCCCTTGGCTTGTTGTGTTTGTTTATTATGCACATATTTTCCTTGAAACCCCTACAGGAAAGCGTAATAGGGTTTAAATGACAGTCACTCTACCAACGCACATGGCAATGAGAACACTTTTGAAGTACTCCTGTTTATACATGTACCTTGATGTTTTTCACAAAATGTTCCTTTGCATGTATTTATGTATTCAAATATAATTGAATACATTAATAAAGAGGCCTTTTTAAATGGGGCTGAATGAAATGGTTATTTTAATTCCTTCTCTGCAATGGCAGTGCTTATTTTTGTAGTGCATTGCATAAATTAACTAGGACTTTTTTTGAAATGCTCTGTACAGAAGTTTTATTTCCTCATTGTTTCTCCTTTTCTCATCCATTTACACAATTCAAACTAGGTCATACCTGGTAAAGATCCTGTCCCTATCACCAGTATTCAGATGGATAGAGACACACTACAGGATGGGATAAGCACCAGGGATGGCCGGGAGCAGGAGGGGGACTTGTGTCATAAATCAGGGCCGGGGCTCATGTCTGAGTGGCCACGGAGGAAAGCGAGAGAGGAGGTTTGGTCAGGGGATGCCAGCCTCCAGCAGACAAGTGTCCTGGGCCCGGGTGATGGATGTGGCACGAAGCCAGAGGGGAATGCTAACAAGATCAAAGGCGCCATGGCTGACTGCTACAAGGAGAGACCTGACTCTGGTGGGAGCTCATTAAGCAGCATGTCCCACCTGCAGAGCAGCAGAGGAACTCGCTCCACGTCTGTCCTCCCACAGAACAGCACTCATCCTCAGCTCGACATAAAGCCCCTCTGCAGTCAGGCAGCCCGCTGTCCGCCTGAGAAAACTATCTTCGAGGGCCTTTTTGGCTGTGCAGAGATCGATGAATCTGGAGGTTTGCAGGGGTTTACAACAGAGGTAGAGACTGCAGCAGCCTCAATTCAACACTCTGGGCTGGGCTCTCTGGTCAGCAGAGTTACTTGGTTGGTCCAGGGACCAGGGTGCGGGGCGTCTCCTGTGGAGCTCTCCCTCAGTATTGCAGCATGTCAGGAAAGAGGGTGTACAGCATGTTGGGGCCCGCTGGTCCAGTCATGTTGTCTCTCTGGTCAGGGAGGGTCAATATATGTCCGTAGTGAAGGACAGCAAGGTCTTCTCTAAGGTAAAGGATAGTCACATTTTCTCCATGGTTAAAGATCTTTCTATCACACAGCACATCCACACGGAGTTCACTCGATACCTTCATCAGAAAATGGTAGAAGAAATGCCAAATGACATTCAGCTAATTCCACAAGATACGTCGACAAGGAATAACAGTATCAAGGATCTACAGTTACCACAAGAGCAAGACAAAGCTGATATTCATGTAAAACAAGGACACACACTCACTACAGAGCTGCTACCAGTGAAACACATCAGTAACCCTGTGGTTATTCACCTGAAGACAAAGATCAGGCATTGGAGAACTCAATAAATGTCCACAACACAAACGACGTACAAATCTTTAGTCAGACGCTCATCTCCACCTCACTGCACAACTCCCAGAAGATTGTAGCTCTCTATTGGCTGAATGTTGCCAAGTGCAGCCAACCCGAGTCTCGCCCCGCCCTCCTGGTCCTGGCAGAGACCGGCCTCTTCACCCTGACTGCTGACTCCGGGCACCTGGTTATGTTCCATCAGCTCCCCTTGGTGCAGCTGAAAGAGGTGCAGATAGGCTTAGCAGGCCACAGTCTGCGTTTGATGGGCTCCTCAGAGGAGAGCACCCTGGGAGTCTACACCCACAGCCAGAACCTTACCAAATACCTGTGCTCGGCCATACTTGGTGTTATCTGCCCCTGGGACAGAAGGGTGTCTCAGCACCCGCTGCTTCATGGAGACCTGATGATGCTGTCTTTAGACTGGCAGGCTTCTGTACCTGACCTGCTGCTGGATGCTGGTTTAAAGGTCTGCTGCCAGTTTCAGAAAAGTCTTGCTGATCCGGTGTACTTTCTCCATTGTAACATGAAGAAGGAACAGTATCTCTAGCAAAGTGCAGATACTGCTGTACACAGGTGTAGGGTTGTGGATCAGTCCCAATAACTACACTGAGCCCCTGGCCCAGCTTTTAGTCACTGACACCCAGCGGCATGGTGCAGGAGGATGCTGTCTTTCACCCGACTCCACGCTCTGTCAGGACTAGGGTTGGGAACCGAAACTCGGTTCCAGATGAGAACCGATAAGAAAATGCCGGGTACCGGGTACCCATACAAATACACAATTTCGGTTCTGCTTAACGGTTCCTAAACGCGGTAGACCCTGTATTCCAGCGGGTCCGTCTGCACCGCGGTGCTGCGGTGACCCGGTGGAATACAGGGCGGACCTGGAGAATCACAGAACGGCCGGTCGTCAGCGGGCCGTTGACGGCCGGCTCGGTACGCTGACGGCCGTTGACGGCCGGCTCGGTACGCTGACGGCCGGCACCGCCCTTCATTTTTTTAAACGGCATCATATAAATTGCGCTGACAGGCGACAGAGGTCCACAGTTGCCCCGCAGCGATGCCCCCCCCGCCCTCCCGTAGACATTTCACGAGCTCAGTCACTTCATAACACCAAAGATAGGTCGCGGTAAACACTCTGAAGTGAGGCTCCACTACACTAAAAAAGAAAAAGAAAAGGCAAAGTGTAATGCCTGTTAATAGCTTGCCACAGGCATAGCTCAGTTAAAATAAAGCACAGCTATTGTGCAATACATTTGTATTGCATGTATATTTTTTAGTAACAATTTCAGTTTAAAGCTTTTAAGAATAAATATATTTTTGTTATCTAAACGTTTGACCTCTTTATTTTACAATTTTGGAATCGAAACGGGGAATCGATAAGAACCGGAATCGATAAGCAGAACCGGAATCGAAATCGGAATCGATAAATTTCATACGATACCCATCCCTAGTCAGGACAGAGCCCTGCCGTCCCCAATTCAATGACTTAACTCTTCGTCAGTGCTCAGATGTGCGCTGCGTGCTGGTGCATGATGAAGACGAGCGCGGTGCTGTCAGTCTGGATGTAACCTTGGCAAATGCGAGGGGCAGGGGTCACCCTGAAAGCGTGACTAAGGCAGCTAGCCCGTCTGCACACGCTTCAAATTTATCTCCGCAAGCCGAAGTGTGGAAATTAACTTTCAGTTGCTCCTCTGAGGCCGCTTTCCTGATTAAGCACTTGTCAAATGTCTGATCAAGGACTGAACAGCCAGTAATGAACAGCCCGGCTCGAAAACTCTCAATCACAAGGAGCAAAAGTGCATCCCATCCAGACAATGCAGAGGACAGCTTCACTGTTAAATGACAGTTAAACTCTGAACTATTTTGAAGTTTCCATTTTGATTTGTTTTTCTTAAAGTTTGTCGTTTTAATAATCCATGGCTTTAGCACTTTTATCTTTAAACCCCTTACATTTCTTTGTACTAGTATTGTTTTTGTTCTTTAACCATTAGCCCCCTATTATTATTATTGTTGTCAAAGGTTGTCAGTTTAATGTGGGATGTTATAAATAATTATCTTGACATTCAGGATTAAAAACCTGTTTGTACTGGTTTTGTTTGTTTCATGGGTATTGTAACATTTAAAAAAGGGATTTTAGGTAGAAAATCCTACCAAATAATCTCCTTGCAATGGTTACTTAAATTGTATGTGTATGTCAAGATGTTCCCAATTTCAAATATTTTATAGACAAATCTAAATAAAGTATTTTGTTTGAATAAAAGTATGCTAAATCCAATACTGCTCTTTAGTTGTGTTTACCATAAGCTCTGACGGTTGATCTTTTAGCTCAAAAACAAAGAATTCAGGGTCTGATGCATTTCACGGCTTTGTCTAATACGTTGTTTTGCTATCATATCCATCAGGCTTTCTTTCTATTCCTGCTCTCTTCTCTGTTGTGAGCTTTGGCGTTGGCTCCTAATTTGACTTGCAGCCTCCTCCTCAGTATCTAAGATTGTGCATACATTTGTATTCCTATCTTATCATCAACTTCCACACTTAGTCAATCTTAGGTCAAGGTAAGCCCCCTCTCACACAGTATCTACCTGCACAATTTCTCAATGGATTCATCCCTGCCAGTCAACATCGTCTCATTCCAGGACTGAGCTTGTTCATTGTATGAGAGATGTTTTAAATAGCTTGACGAGCTTGCTACATCTCTTAGAACCCAAGTCTGATTCACATTGGGAGAATCAGAGCCAAAGACTGTTTGTTCCACGTCTTGACTGAGACCCCATACAGTTTGGAAAATGACCTGACAATACAGTGCAATCAGTCTGCTTCTCTGCTCCAGTGTGAGAAATGGAGAATTGGTCTGAATGAAAAGCAGCACACCAGCATGGACATTTGAGCTAGGATGACAGTAATATGGTGCTAGTTTTTAATATTAACTGCATCTTGTCTTTCGGCAGATGAGGCAATGAATTGTTTCAGTATTTGGAGTTCAGCAGCTCATTCTGTGTCATAAAACATTATTATTAATAACACAACATTTATCAGTGGTTGCTCTTGCCATGCCATCTTGAATGTGGGCTGGTGACTTTGTTAATTCTCAAGGTAGCTGGCTTTATATCTCATTAGACTTTCCGCCTCCCTTGTATCACGTGGCACTTTCAGTGTGCTATTTGTGAGACAATTATTCTGGAATGTAAACCGAGGGGTTTTGAATAATCTCCCAATGCTACCAGGGAATTAACAACTGTCATCGTTCAATGTTTAGGAATTTATTTTTCTGTCCAAATGAAAAACCACTGCAAATCGGCTATCCCATTAATTCACTGACCGCCCTGCATCTGAAATACACAGGAGCTCGGGATGAGCACAGCCTGGTTAAGGGGAAGTGCTCACTCTCAGACAGCAGATACACAGACCCACTGGCAGGCTCTGAATCTCGAATCATTACTCTGTGTGATTTCCCACTGGGTCGTTGACAGCACATAACAAGATAATTTGTTTACCTTCTCCTTTGGAAGAATATGAACGTGACCCAGTCAGTTCTCTTATTGCTTAGCTGTTGATGGGCTAAATATTTTTTTAGTCAATCCTTATTATTCTGCCTGCATATAGCAACCACATAAATTCAATGATTCACTAATGTTTTCTTTTTAAAGGAAAATCCACGACCCACTGCTTAGGTGTAAATTGCTCGTTTCAAATCAGTTTTGCATTGGCAATCTTAAAATCACTGTTTCTTCTTTACTTTACTTTTCTTACTTTAATGGTTACACATTCAGCTTTTCTCTGGAATAAGAAACATCTTGTTATTCCAATAACTAATCTTCAAAGGAGCTTGCTATTCAATTGAACCTGGTAGTGGCCTTTGGAAAAGAGGCCAGCAGATCAGAAAGATAATTTAATGCTGGTGGTTTGCCCTATATTGCCAAGACAAACTGCTGTGTGGCTAAAGGCCATATATCGGACCAAAAATACTGAGGTGCTATTGCTGTATTTTATTTTTCAAGTGCAATTAACTATTATAACTCCTAATTGGAATTAAACAAACAGCTTCTTTCAATTGGCTACTGATGCACAGCGTTTTGTGATCATCTGTCCACTTACTGTAGGACAAATTCATTCAATGTAGGTTATATTGCTGTGTTTTTACATACTCTTTTAAAATGCACCTCGTTGTTACACTAGCCTTAATTATGCAAAATAGGCTGCTAGATACAATTTGAAACACTAGATCTACATTTTAAAGTTTAAAATGGGGCTCTTGAAGAATAAAGGGTGTACATCATGGGTAGGCCTAATGTGCTATACTTATGACACTGTTGGTTCAGTTAACTCCACTGCTACAAGTTGCAATTTATATCGTACGCACCCTTTGTAATCGGGCAGTGTATTTAAGCTCTTCTCACCTGGACAAGCAGGCTGCAAACTCTGCAGAAAATACTTAAACCTGCTACTACTATTTGCATGCTTGACTGCTAACAGTCCAGCCGTGTTGGACATCGTTTTGGAGGAGAGATTTATGTTTTTGCCACCCGCTCAGTAGCTGCTAAAGGTGTTGAATCACCTGTAACGTTACGCCACAAATGCACATAGGAAGCAAACATGTTTGGATGAGTGACCACAGCTGTAACACTTTGTTTTCTCTCCAGGGGACCACTGCCTCACTTCAACAAGCTAAGTAGCCTACTCTCTGCTCCTGCTAATGAAAGCTTTAGCGCAAGTTCAATAAGGAAGACCTAACACGAGTCACTTACACGTCACTCTATGGCTCCCTTCCCCCCTCATTAAATACGAGGGCGTCACCCCTCAGCAGCCAATCGCTGCACATGCTAAATTCCTTAAATGCCTGCTCTTCCTCCCTGTCAGTTGTCATTGCAGATGATCACACGCAATGGTAGTTGCAATACAATACTCCTTCTCGTGAGAAAAACCGTAAGAAACAACTAGCTCAAGATGTCCAACTCGGACAATTCGGAACACGAACCTTCTCTGGAAGTCTCCGATCCCGGTTCGGCTCCCCACAGCGGCTTATCAACAGAGGCAGACTTCCTCATCGCCCGGCTCCTGCAGCAGGGCTTTCCCACAGCCCCAGGCCTCACTCTCTCTCAGCTGCGAGAGCTCTCGGACCAGGTCTCCAGCGTAGCTCCCCAGTCCGGGGCAGCAGCTCCAGTCAGCTCCCCAGAGAGCAGGACGAGGCCGCAGCCGCGGAGGTAAAAAAGGGCAGGAAGTCGAGCCCTCCAGGATCCCGTCCCCCTCCAAAAATCCACCCCTTCTCAGGCTCGAGGCAGGGAGTGTCACACCCCTTATGGAGAGTAGCGCGACCGGCTCCCTGCAATCACTGGCTAGCTCCATGATAGCTATCGATGCTCGCCTCCAGGCTCTGGAAGACTCCGCCACAGGAGCTTCAACTTCCGTTACACTCAGGCATGGGCGTCGCCTGGGGTAGGCATCCGGGGCTTTAGCCCCGGATGTTTTTTTCTTTAGCCCCGGACAAATTCTCCCTCAATAATATAATACATTAACCTACTTTACCTATAGGACGGACGGCAGAAATGTAATTTCCCATGTTCAGTGAATGCAACACAGAGGCAAGACGACGCCACCAGACCAATCAGAGAGTTGCATGGAAATAAACGTGTTTTATTGGCTGACAGGTACGTACCTCTCCTCTGTGACAATGTTTACACTTTAAACTGTCAGCCCCGGACGCGGAGATTCTGAAGATGGACATTAGAAGTTTTTTTAATAAAAAAGACGGCAATTCTCAAGTGGTGGCTCACACAACAACCCCAGAGCCGCCACCTGAGCCAGGTGAACAAGGTATGTACATGTCAGTAAACTTACAAGTTATGCGAACATGTAAGCAAAGCATAAAATACAGCTACGTTGACGTTACTTTGAATCGCGCGGGTAAACTAAACCGTTAGCAAGTAGCTATAGCTAGCCAGATTAAATAAACACTTTGTCATACAATCTAAATGTTGTGTTTTTTAGCGTTACCTGGTGATTTCAAAGAAAGCTCTCTGGGAAATGTTGACTTACTGTCAGTGTTCTTCATGAAGCTATAAGCTACTTTACAGTAGTACAGTTGATCCTGATTCCTAAGTCCTGTCAGTTAAAGTGGTTCATAGTTAGCTTAGCTAAGCATCAATGTAGCACTGAAATATATGGATGTGAATTACTCAAACTACATTTGTATAGGAATGATTCTGTCCTATTGACAGATAACTACTCTTAGTGATATCTACAAGAGGTTTCCAATGTAAATTTAACTATTTTCAATTGGTTAGTATTACATTTTGTGACAGTGTGGTGACACTCATTTTAATGAAGACACATTTGTGTATCTTGAAATTCATTTATTTGACAGAGCTGGAAACTGATACATACTTGTTTGTGTTTACCTACACAGTCATCACAGATGAGCCAAACAGAGTAGAGGATGAAGAAATGAGAACAGGAGAAAGGGACACACAAGAAGGAGATACAACAGATAAGAACAACAATGAACAGGAACACCAGAACAGACAAGAGTCAATGGGTAACTGGGGAACTGATTTAGGGACTGCAGATACAGGGCCAAGGCAAGTGAGACATCACTGCTTTCCATCCGGCATGTTTGGCCAGCAAAAAAGATCATTTCAACCAAGTTGGTTTGATACTTTTAAATGGCTTGAATATTCTACAACTGCCAATGCAGCATTCTGCTTTAGTTGTAGAATATATGGCAAACCAAAGCAGTCAAGGGATCAAAGGGACACCCTCACCACCTCAGGATACACAAACTGGAAGCGTTCATTGGATTCTTTTCGAGAACATGAAAAGTCAAACGTACACAAGGCCTCAATTATTCTCTGGAAGAGCTTTAAAGCCACCCAGGTCCACAGGGACATCACACAGCAGCTACATGCTGCAAATGTCAGTGAGATTCAGGAACGTAGGGAGTATCTGAAACGCATAGCAGCAGTGACAGCCTTTCTTGGGAAGCAAGGGATTGCTTTCAGAGGGCACAACGAAGCAGCAGAGAGTGATAACAAGGGTAATTTTATGGAATTCATGAAGCTTCTTGAAAACTTTGATCCTTTTCTGCAAACCTATAAGCCACCTTCATGTGTGACCTACCTCTCACCCTCATCACAGAATGAGATGATTGAAAGCACCGCCAACGTTATAATGGCAAGGATAATATCTGAGATCAAAGAGGCAAAAATGTACTCGGTAATGGTGGATGAAGCAAGAGATAATCACACAGAGCAGCTTGCATTGTGTGTGCGATATGTAAGTCCACAAGGCTCAGTGAAAGAAAGGTTCCTTGGACTTTCTCAGCTTGCAGCATTTGATGCTAAAACCATCACTGACACAATAGAGCAGCTACTTGACAAACATGGAATAGGAATCTTAAATGTGTTGCCCAGAGTTATGATGGTGCTGCTGTTATGAGTGGAAAAGTGAGAGGTGTACAAGCTCGGTTTAGAGAGAAGCATCCAGAAGCACTTTATGTTCACTGCTATGCCCATGAACTCAATCTTGTCCTTTGCGCCACTTGCAAAGCCATCCCAGAGGCACGTGACTTCTTTGATCTCCTGGAGTGTCTCTACTCTTTCTTCTCCACATCTCTTGTCCACCATCAGAGATTGGAAACATTTCAGAAACAGCTAGAGGTAGGGAACAAACAACTTGTTCAGCTGTCACACACTCGCTGGGCATGTCAAATTGAGTCGATGAATGCAATCCTAAAAAACCTCCCTGCTTTGATCCAGACTTTAGGGAGCCTTCCAGCCCCTCTGGCAAAGGGACTGGAAAGCAAGCTTTGCAAATTCAGTACCATATACATGCTTGTCCTGTTCCAGACACTGCTCTCAACCACTCAGGGCCTGCACAAATACCTGCACAAAG